ACTAGAAAGTATAAATAATATAATAAACTCAAAACCCCTGGGTCAACGACCCAGGCATCCTAACAGACACAAGTTAAGCCGCCCTCTTCCTCTGAGCACCAGCTTTTCTATTATTACAAAGAAAAAGAAACCATTAAAACACCAAACCACAAACACACTGTAGAGCCTTTTTTGTTTTCTTAACACACTTTTACAGAAACTGAAAGCACAAAGCTGCTCCAAAAGCACAGGATTAAGAAAAGAAGAAGATTTCTGTCAGGAAGCACATCTGGAATAATATTCAGGCCCAATCTGACACACAGACCATAATAATAAAAGTGGAGAATGATCAGAATCATTTCAGAATTTTCAAAGAAATCAAGATTCAGTTTTGGCAGCAGAGCACAGGGATGCACATGATGAGACTGAAAATCAAGTCTTCTGTATCTTTGTAAGTCCCGTGACTGTCTGGCAGTCGGTGACCTTCACCTCTGATGAAAAACTGAAATTAGATCTTTTCTCAGCTGATTTTAAAAAATAAATGTGAGTAATGATCCAATCAATCATTGTTATTGTTGGCCAATACTGTGAAGACCAAACTAGGATTCACGTAAACACTGAGATTCAAAGTATAATTCAATGATTATTGTCATAAATGACAGATATAGTATTTTTCTATTTTGTATCGTATGTTATTCTGTTTATCTTATTCTATTGTTTCCCCTTGAAGTCACCTCCAGTTTGCGCTGATCTAGGACGTCACAGGTCTTGGATTCAGTTGTGGAGACGATGGTCTGGTAGCGAACACAGATCTTCTCCACGCCCTCCACCTGAGCTCAGTTTGAATCCGTCTCATTTCTGTCACACTGAAATGGAAGAACTGGAAAATAGACTTTTGACACGATTAATAAATAATAAAAGGAGGAAATACATTTATACAAAATCATTACAAATGTCCATTCATCACTGTAGCTTTGCATCGACTTTAATTCGACCATTTTTATATTATAAATGTCTTATTATAATTATTATTGTGCATTGATGAATATCTGATGGAGTCACTTGTTTCTAATCTGACAATCATCCACCTTCATGCTCTGCAGAGCAGCCAGGCTCTCCAGCGTGGACGCCATGTCGGCCATCTTCTCCAGATGGCGGCAGAAAGAGTCAAACTTCCCGAAGATGTAGTTCTCACTGAAAACACACACACGTGTGTAAAGGTTAGCGTGACGCTGCTGACACGCTCTGACTCAGAGTCAGTTACTGATCACCTGAAGTCAAACTGTCTGTTCTCAGGGTTTTCTCTCAGTTTGTCTCTGACGCTGTGGAAGCTTCGCTGATACGCCGCATTCAGATTACAGCAGTCGGAGATTCTCTGCAGCAGCACCGGCCTGACACACACACATACAGGCACACACACACGCACACACACATTGCTGAGTCCATTTGCTAGTCTGAGTCTAATCTCTATGACGATCTGAACAGAAGTTTAAGTCTAATGTAAGTTTCAGGTGTGCTGCAGTACCTGCTGTGCTCCCAGACACGCCTCACGCCCTGCAGCAGGTAGCTCCTGAGGGTGCTGATCATCTGGTTGGTGACCTTGAGCAGCAGTGAGCTCATCCTCTCTGAGGTGTTGTAGTACTGGGACACCACGTGGATCATCTTGATGCCGTTCATCAGACTGGGAATGTGCTCCAGCATCCTGGTCTGTGGAGCCGGGAGAAAAGGAAGACGGAGGATGAGAGACGGTTTGTCCGGTGACTGATACGAGCTTCAGTGTGAGAAACAAAGCTGCTGACACAGCAGGAACAGACAGCAGCCTCATTACTGACATGTAGAGATCAAATAAATGCACATTCAGGCTGAGCTGGAGAATCCTGTATCCACCATATCTGATCCAGTAACAAGAAAACGGTTTGTCATCAGAAC